GGGAGTACACCTTCAGCACCAGCAGCTGCACCGAGTCTACGGCCTCCTCGACCTTCTGCGGCTCCGTCGGGATCTCGTACAGCCACGTCGTGACGAGCTTATCCATGGAATTCCTGCTCTTCAGCTCCTCCGGGACGCGCAGCTTCGTTGTCTCGAGATCCGGCAGGAGAACGTCCTCCTCGAAGTGGACGGCGAGCGGTATTAAAATAAGCTTGTCCGCCATCAGCGGCGCCCGGCCCAGGGCGGCTGGGAAGATGTTCTACTCCCTACGGTGGCACGTCGGGGTACGAACTTCCCAGCTGCCCCGGGACAGGCGTCCCCGATGGCAGAAAAGTCCATGTCGTACCGTTGTCCGTCCCCTGGTCCTCTTCGTCCCCGATTGACGCCGTGGTCTTCTTGAGGAAGACCCATGGGTTGGCGAACGTCGCGTGGAGCGTGCTTTTAAACAGCTCCACGAACATCTTCAACTGCCGGTCGACCACAGCGTCGTAGGTCTCGAAGACCAACTTCTTGATGGTCTGGTTGTCCTCTCGGGGTTTAGCAAGACCCCCTAGTTGAAAACGGCCCAGGACCAAATCTGGCGTGCAAAAGTCCGCAAACATTAGGGTCGGAATGCCCTTTCGAGAACCGAGAAAACGCAAGCCGCTAATCGACTTAGCAGGGAGGGGATTCTACCAACCTCCGATCCTCAATGAACGCAGCGTGCCTCGAAAAGTTCACGCTGAAGAGCTTCTCGTCCGGGGATCCCTTCAGGCCCTTCATGAACTGCACGATCGGTTCTTTCTGCTGCATGAAAAACCACTTGACGCGCTCGCCGACGTACATGATGCGCCGCTGCAGCGGCAGGTGCGCATTGTGATTCAGCAGCTTCACGACCACCTCTCTCCATGTGACGGAGCTCATCGAGATGCCGAAGGACTGCAGCACGTCCTTCTTCTTGATCTCGTTGCCCACCTCCGAGAACCTCAGGAAGACCTCGACCTCGTACATCAGCCTCCGGAACTGTGCCCCCCCGTTGATCTCCACGTCGTACGCGGGGACCTTCATCGTGTCGCTGTTCAGGTGCTGGAGGTAGTCGTCCAGGGTGCCGAAGTCCTCGGTCGGCAGCACGTCGAAGGTGTCGTAGTGGGGCGCATCCTTCGGCGCGCCGGGCGGCCGCTCGCCGTCCGCGGGCTTCCGCCCGAGCCTCTCGTGATACTCGTGGAACTCGCGGAGCTCGGTGTCGAGGGTCATGCGGTTGATGTTGGACCGGATGTAGCCCTCCATGATGTAGGTCAGGCAGTTGGCGAAGGAGACGCCGCAGGCTCGCACGCTGGCCAGCATCTGCGAGGGGTCGGCCTGCTCCATCTCGTCCTTGATCTCCTCCACCCGCGTGGTCATCGCCTGCTCCAGGTCCTTCATCTTGGCCATCACGGGGCCGATGGCCTGGGTGAACATGATCTCGGTGCGCTTCTCCATGTACGAAGAGAAGTTGTCGAAGCCGACCATGTCGAGGTGCTTCTTGGAGCACCCGAGGCTGGAGAGCTTGTCCCTGTCCTGCTGGTCCTGGTCCTTCCGCATCTCCACCAGCGGCTTGGGCGGCGGCTGCCCGTCGCTCCAGTGCGGAAGCGTCAGCGCGAACTTGGTCAGGTTCTTCGGCAGGTCCCCGAAGCCCTCCAGCCACTGGTGGACGTTGGAGCGCGTCAGGTCGCTGTAGTACTTGTCGAGCTTGCTGCGGATGAGGATGGTCCGCTTGTAGTCGGGATCGACCTCGGTCACCTTCCTCAGGGCCCACAGGTTCGCCGCGTCGCCGGCCTCCTCCACGCAGAGGATCACGTTGCGATCGTCCTCCAGGAACGTCTTGTTCAGCTGCTCGATCTTGGTGACGAGCTGCGACGCCGCCTCGTCCCTCGCAAAGCCGCGGTAGCCAGGCAGGTCGACGATCTGCATGTCCACGCAGCTGCTGGACTCGACGCGCAGGTTGACGGCTTCCGCGGAGATGTTGTTGCCGAGGTCGGTGTGCGCCTTGGACACGAGCTCCTGGACCTGCGAAGTTGGCCGCTGCTGCCACTGGTTGGTCTGGCTGTCCAACCAGTACCACTTCGAGGGGCCAGGCACGTTGCGAAACTCCAGCACCGTCGGCCTGCGGCTGCCGAGGGTGCCAGAGATGAAATTGAACTGCTCCCCCGCGAGTGACTCGATGAGCCTGCTCTTTCCCACGGACTGCCCGCCGATGAGGATGAACTGAGGCATGGGGAAATCTGCGGTGCCCAGCTTATCCTGGGAGGACGTCCGCTACACACCTGCACCGATGCTGGCCAGGCCCAGCTCGGGCCCAGGATCGGTGTATACGCCCTTCTGGCTGGGCCAGTGGGGCAAGTGCACCGATCCCGAGCCCCAAACAGACCTGGCCATGGTCAGTGCAGTAGGCGCGTTGCTGGCTCCGTGCCACGTCCTGCACCCGGGTCTTGATCTCGCTCAGCACGTTCAGGAGGTCGCCCTTGATCGACTGGCTCGCCATGGCGGCAGCGCAAGGGGCGCCCGACCCTGAGATCCGACGTCGCAAATAAGTTGCCACATCGTGCGAAAACTCGACGGCAGCCCCAGGCCCCATTTCTCTGCTACATCCTTCGAGCCGAATCGATCCGTGAGGGTCCCGGAGTCCGGTTCCCCCGTTGCGAAGAACATGCGACGCTAGGAATTCAGTTCTAACTTCTTAATCTTAAGATCACTAAGCCCTGAACACCGAAAAACCGGGCACATACGGGTACATACGGGAGCATACGGGTACATACGACCCGGCATGTAAACCGGCACCATCCCTTGCAAAAAATACGATGTCCTGATCATGCGTGCTGTATCCATTGCGATTTACAATACAAATGCGCGTCCGCGGACGTAAGCCCTCGCCATCCCTGGCAAAAAATACGATTTCCTGATCATGTCTTCATACACCTATGAGACTTTCCTTACCAAGTGCGCCGCTGTCGCAGAAACCGGTGTTTTACAATATGAATTGCATGATGTTTCAAGCGCTCACAACGCTCCCAGGCGCTCCCAAGCGCTCCAGGCGCTCCCAAGCGCTCCCAGGCGCTCCCAAGCGCTCCCAGGCGCTTCCAGGCGTTCCAGGCGCTCCCAAGCGCTCCCAGTGCTCCCAGGCGCTCCCAGGCGCTCCCAAGCGCTCCCATTCGTTGTACTTACAACGAGGGGAGAGATGATCTTTATGGTAGGGTGGCTTGCAGGTGGGACTGGCAGCCACCGCAGGTGGGCTCCTAGGCAGGAGGGGATCAGCTGCGGCAGAGCTTGTAGACCCTAAACCCTAAACCCTAAACACCATTGCATCACATATTAATTTACATGCTAAACAGAAAAGTGGCCCGCGCTGTCCGCCCTGGGGGGCTAATTCGTAAACCCACATTCCATGCGTGCCCGCACACGGATTCTGCCCCTCCCGCATGGCGGCTAATTCCTGAACCCCCTGTCCCATGCGTGCCCGTTCGAGGATCGGGCCCCTCCCGCTCAAGGATCGCGCCCCTCCCGCGCGGCGGCGAATTCCTAACGCCCCATTCCATGCGTGCCCGCTCAAAGATCGTGCCCCTGCCGTTCGAGGATCGTGCCCGATCCCGCGTGGCGGCTAATTCCTAAACCCCCATCCCACGCGTGCCCGCTCGAGGATCGTGCCCCTCCCGCTCGGGATCCCCCCCCCCCCACCCTCTCCCTTTCCCCTCCCCCTGCCCCCCCCGCGTGGCGAAGAATTTCCAACCACCCATCCCGTGCGTGCCCGCTCGAGGATCGTGCTCCTCCCACTCGAGGATCGCGCCCCTCCCGAACACGGATTCTGTCCCTCCTGCATGGCTGCAATTTCCTAAATTCTCTATCGCATACGTGCCCGCACACGGATTCTGCCCCTCCCGCACGGCGCCGAATTCCTAAACCCCATATCCCATTCGTGCCCGCTCGAGGATCGCTTCCCTCCCGCTGGAGTATCGCGGCCCTCCCGCATGGCGGCTAATTCCCACATCCGATGGGTGCCCGCTCGAATTCCACGTGGGCGCGCTCGAGGACTGTCGCAATAGCTGGCATAGAGTGCACTCTGATTGTATGCCTTCATATGTAGTGGGTATCCAGGATGGGTGGAATGTGAGCACCGCGGCAGTGTGAGCAGCGTCGAATGTGTTGCGACGCTCGTGCTAGTTGACCCTGACCCCTAAACCCAAAACCCGAACCGGCAAAAACGCCAGAAAACCTCAGCTTTCGAACATCGACCTTCGACACAGGGCAACACCGCCTGTCGGGAAAAACTTGCGGCGCCAGGATCTCAGGGGAAGCGGGCCCGAAGGCGCGCTGGCAGCGCGCGGGGAGGGCAGGACCTCGAGAGGCGGCCGTGACGGCGGCAGCCGGCCGATTCGAGCCAGACTCGGCCGGAGGAGCTGCCGTGCTGTGCGGGAGGCCACGAGCGGGGTCCACCTGAGCGACGCAAAGAAGCAGGCCTTACGCGAGATGGCACAGCGACCTTACGCGGTGGCTAACGCGGGCCGCAAGCGTGTAAGCGGTGGGCGCTTACGCACGACCTTACGCAGGCAGATTACGCGCCAGAGTCGGTGAAGGCGCTTCCTCTTTTGCTTGCTCACCTGACGAGGGGACGCTGAGATGCTGGCGTCGCAATTCTTTCATATCGGGCGATGTTGCCCTGTTTCGGGTCCCTGGACCCTCACGGATCGAGCGGGCCTGAGAAACGCTGCAGAACGGTGGGGTCCAGGGCTCTGGCCGAGTTGTCGTACGATGGTGCACCTTTTTGTGTGACCACGGGTCTCAGGAAGGGGGTAACGAAGCGGGGGCTCGTGAGTCCGCTGCACAAGCTGGCTTTTATCAAGGAAAGCGCCCAGCGGCGGGACCGAAACCAGCCGCGAGCGGCAGATGTAGCCCCCCCCCCCCCCCGTCCCGAGCACCCCTTTCGTCCGACCCGAGCGGAGGCCTGTCGGGAGGGGGGGGCCCAGCAAGGGAGAGAGGGAGCAGGAAGAGGAAGGAGGGAGGAGGGAGCGCGGGGGCGCGGGAGGGAGGGGGGAGGGAAGGAAGGGAGAGAGAGGGAGACGAGGAGGAGCCGGCATGCAGGAAGCGGGCCCTGGAGGACACCGGGCCCTCGGAGGCTTTCTCGCACCGCTCCCGGGTCCCCCGGGGGCCCTCCGCCGGGCCTCCTATAGGGGCGGTCCACCAGAAGACTCGGAGGGAAGGGCCGGTCCCCGAGAGAGCCTGGGGCCCGCTGCCCGCAGGACCCGCTGCTGTCCAGGGCGAGAGGCAGCGAGGAGGCCGAGGAGGGGGGAGGCGGGGAGGCAAGGAGGAGCCAGATGTCCGACGCCGCGGCTGTCTCGCAGCTTGGCTCCCCAGATCGGGGGCGCGCGAACATGGATTAGCGATCCATGGATTTGGCGCGCGGTCGCCAAATCCATGGATCGCGAGTCCACGCCGCTAATCCACGCCCCCATGATCCATGCTTGCGATCGCCTGACCAGAGGTCTGGACCCATGACGTTCCCCCCTGGCCTTTCATCTTGAGCCGGTTCTTGACGGTCCCGGGGCCCCAGAGGCCTCCTGGAGACCGAGAATGGGCTCACGCCCTCCGTCTCCTTCCCTTGCACGGCGAGAGGACGTCGGGGAGCGAGGAGGGAGGAAGCGACGCGAACCTCGGGAGGGAGCAGGTCGGCCACACGCAAGAGCGACCCTGGGCAAGAGTGACCTTTGGCGCGCGGCTCTCATGGGGGGCCGCGGGGGGGGGGGGAGCAGACCCGAGCGCGCAAGACGCTAGCTCTCGCACCGCGCTCGGCGATCGGGGGGGCCCCAGTGAACCCGCACCAAAGGTCACCTGGGCGAAGGGTCACCCTTACACGTCGTTCATTTCTAACCGTGCTCATTTCAAAGTGTGCTCGTTTCTGATTGTTCCTGGCCCCCTGGTGGCCAGAAGGAGGCCCAGGAGAGAACAATTAGAAGTGAAAAGATCTTGGCCCCCCAAAAATCGAAGAACTTGCGAATACTTGGAAACGAAGGATGTGTACGTGTAGTCGGAGGTCGGGCGTGTCCCCCTACGGGCGGATTCTGGACGAAAAAATAAAAGAAAAGTCAAAGAAAAATCCGGACAAATACTCAAACGGAGCAGGGAGCGCCCGGCAGCGAGCGCCAGGCAGCGCACCCCGGGAGAGGCGCCGCTGCTGGTCCCGGCCGGGCGCGGTGATGGAGAAGGAGCGGGGCCGGCGAGCGGCCGCAGCAGAGGGCGACGGAGCGAGGACGAGGTCCAGGACGAGGAGGAGGACGAGGAGGAGGACGAGGACGAGGACGAGGACGAGGACAAGGAGGAGGAGGAGGAGGAGGAGGAGGAGGAGGAGGTCGAGGACGAGGACGGGGAGGAGGAGCGGGACGAGGACGAGGACGACGGGGATGAGTCAGGGCGGGGCGCGATGCGGGACGAGGGAGGTGGCGATGCTTGAGCTGGCGCGCGCCTGCCGCAACGATCCTGTCCAGGCCAACTATCCGACTGGCCACTACAAACCAGGGCGGCGCGCCAGCTGCGAGTTGAGCAGGGACCGACCGTCCCGGCGTTCCTATAGGCCTACCACGACATGTTCTTAGAACCCAAACATGTTCTGAAGAACCAGAAATGTTCCAAGAACATTCCGTAGAAGCCACAAACAAGTTCTCAGAACGTGGCTTGGTGGGCCTATAGGCACGCCAGGACGCTTCGCCACTGCTTGATACGAGGAGCACGCCAACCGGCCTCGCCGAGACGCCCCGATCCTGGCCGGGCGGACGCTGGTCCCGCGGGGCATCACTGCTGGGCCATGCGCGCCCCTCCAATGGGACGCGTATCCTCTCCGGAACGGCAGGGTCCTGGTTCCTGGCCATCAATCCCATGCAGACCCCCGCGCGCTGTGGAAAAATCACGGCGGGAGGTTCGGCCGCCGGGGGCCCCTACCAGGCCCCTGGACTGCCAAAAAATGGCACAGGACGAAAAACTGGTCATGGAGGGTGGGTCGAGACCTTTTGGGGTCGGCGTCGCGGAAAAATCAGTACTTCGGGGGTCTGGGATCATTGGGCCACTGCGCCAGTACGTTCGCTCCTTGTTCAGGTGAGGGGGCTCACGGCCCTGACCCAGCCAACAGAGCAGGGCGTGTACACCGATCCTGAGCCTAAGGGTGCTTTGGCCAAGATCCCTGGTCTGCAGACGCCGTGGTTTTGTTCACGACGTGGCCCCCAGGCTTATCGACCCCACTCCCCCCGGCCGCTTGAGCGCCGCGGGCTCCTTGGCTTGCCGCAGCCCGAACTCGGCCCCTGGACATCGAAACTGGGAAAGTAAGCAGCAACCGCGTGCTTTTCGAGGCGCTGGTGGTCTGGTCCGTAGGTCGGGCCAGAGGAAGCCGTTCACGGCGAGGAGCAGCTGCTGGAAAAGGTCCCCGGGCGGGCCAACAGGAAAGTCTGCGGCAAACGTCCTGGGCGCAGATCGGTGCGGGTGGGCAGTTGGCGTCCCCTGAGC